TTCTAACCTCTATGGGTACCAAACGTGCATGTGCTATGCAGACACATGAATGCAGACAAAACACTCCAACACATAAAATAAAATCAATGCATTTAAAAACATTTTAAAAAGAAATCTGACTCGGGCTGGCAGTGGTAGCGCACACCTTTAATCCCAGCACTTGGGAGGCAGAGGCAGGCAGATCTCTGTGAGTTCAAGGCCAGCCTGGTTCCAGGACAGGTTCCAAAGTTACACGAGAAACCCTGTCTAAAAAGAAAAAGAAAAGAAAAATCTGATTCGGGCTGGAGAGATAGCTCAGTGATTGGGTTGTTCAATTCCCAGCACCCACATGGTAGCTCAGAACTGTCTGTAACTCCAGTTCCAAGGGATCTGACACTTTTATACAAATGCACATAAAATAAAGTCGAATAAATTATTTTTAAAAATAAATATGACTCTAGATTGGTCCCATGAGCAAATGGTTAAACCCACGTCAATCCAGTTAACACGTGGCTGCTGGAAACCTCAGATCCTTGAGGAAGTCTGGCTACACCTGCAGTCTGTCTTGGAGGGCAGTAAACAATTAAGCAATTAAGCAGTGAAGGCTTACAGATGATCAAGTTCAGTCTCTCCTGGGCTGAGCTCCATTTATGACCTAACACATGCAAAACACACTATAAAATTAAGAGCAAGATCAGGACTCCCAGGCTAGCCTCCCTAGCTAAAATTTTAATAAAGAAAAATAATGAATATGTTTCAGAAATTCTCAAGGCTGGGTTGAAAAGACTGAAACATGAAGTCACTATAGTAAAATGCTGAAAACACTGCACCAGCTGCATTCCCAGGTATTATGATTTAATTGATCTTTTTGAGGTACCCAGAATTGTTCTTGTTTATAGTGGTATTATCTTCATCTGTAAAGGCTGTTGTTGACAAAATATGAATAGCGATGTTAACAAATGCTAGAAATGCATTCTTCACAGTTCAAGCATCTGTGAAACCAAGATTTTCAGAAATAGCTGTTTCTCTGGGTGGCCACCAGGTGGCATTGAGGTTATGGACAAGAAGGCTCGTGATGGTTCCAGTCTATTGGCTTTCACTTGAATTTTTTTTTAAATTTATTTATTTATTTTTTGGTTTTTCGAGACAGGGTTTCTTTGTAGTTTTGGAGCCTTTCCTGGAACTAGCTCTTGTAGACCAGGCTAGCCTCAAACTCACAATGATCCGCCTGCCTCTGCCTCCCTAATGCTGGGATTAAAGGTGTGTGCCACCCACCACTGCCCGGCCACTCTTCACTTGACAGTCTTTGTGTGTGACAGGCGTGTGGCAGCAGGCCAGCATTCCAATCAGGCTCGTCCTAGGAGCTAGCCTGGGGATCAGGGCTACTTTCTGTAAATTCTATCTGTCTGTCTGAAGTCTGCAAACTGTTCTTGAAGATTGCCTCCTTCTGAAACTGGAGGGTCCCAGGGATGTAGAACTTGATTTGCTGTTCCCAAGACCAGCTGGCGCACTATTTCAGTCTGTTGGGAGTCTTGGAAAGGCAGCCTGGTACCCTCGGAGATAGTGCTCCTCCCGTCTAATTGGCTCCGCCCACCCCCCTTAGAACATTTGTCTGTCTCTACAGCAACGTGCTACGGACATTCTTGAATCGGAACACGGCCATATTATTGCTTTAGTTTTCTTCTATATCTTGCAAACTTTTTGTTAACTTTGGCCCTCATTTTATCTTCTTCACCCATGCTTGTCTAGGCTGAACATCTAGAATGGACTTTGTGCATGCGGAAGTGATAAAAAGCTCTTAGGTTTGAGGTCAGTGGCTAAGTACTCATCCGCTCGCCTATGTCCTCAGGCCTCCTTCTGTCAGTTCTGTGTGTCCATCTAAGGATCCGTCTTGAAGGGGTTGGTGGCAGGCCATCGTGGTGAAAGTCATGCAATGATAATGCGGGCTCAGTCTTTAGTAAAATAGCAGATTAGCCAGGCAGTGGTGGCGCACGCCTTTAATCCCAGCACTCAGGAGGCAGAGGCAGGCAGATCTCTGTGAGTTCGAGGCCAGCCTGGTCGACAAGAGCTAGTCCCAGGACAGGCTCCAAAATTATAGAGAAATCCTGTCTTGAAAAACCTAAAAAAATATAAATAAATAAAAATAAAAAGTAAAATAGGAGATTAGGCCCGGTGGCGCTGCCTGTAATCTCAGCATTTATGAGGCCAAGGCAAGAGGATGGAGAGCTACCGGCTAACCTGGGCTACATAGTAAGACCCTGTCTCCAACAATATCAACAACAAACGGAGATCCAGACACACACATACACGCACGGGAGATGCAGGAAGGAGATATCACTAGTAAGCCACGGGGAGTAGCCACCTGCCTATACCTAGGTCTCCTTCCAGCCACCAGGGGCAGCAAAGCGCACTGTGTCATGTAAGCCCTGATCAGCGGTGCTCCTCAGTCCCATTACACTCAGGGGGAGGAAGACTTAACTGCTCTACAGCCTGGAGCAGCTCTCAGCACCAGCTGCTTCGCTCTCACACCTGCCTGCTGCCCACTCAGTTAAGTTCGGGACAATCCTGGGCAGTCCTCCTTTGGGTTCCGGATGAATGAGACAAAACACCCACGGGCAGACAAGAACAAGCTATGCCTCGACAAACCCATGGGCTGCCCATGAGAAGAGCCAAAGAATGTGGGTGAGGGCTCCAGGGACTGGAATCGGCCCCACCTAGAGGCGGAAAGTCATGCTTCATTACTTTCAAAATAGCCACTAAAAGCCAGGCATGGTGGTGCAGGCCTTTAATCCCAGCACTCGGGAGGCAGAGGCAGGTGGATCTCTGTGAGTTCGAGGCCAGCCTGGTCTACAGAGTGAGTACCAGGACAGCCAGGGTGACACAGAGACACCCTGTCTCTAAACAAAACAAAACAAAACAAAACAAAAAAGCCAAAAAGTCAGACTCAGTGACAAAGTGGAGCAGGCATAGCGTGGGTAGTGGAGGGCTGGTGACATACAGGAAGTCCAAGAGGACAGAGGGGGTGGCCGGAGACTGTCCTGCTGCACTTCCCTCCCCACGTAAGTCAAAACAGAAGCATTTGTTTCCTCAAAGAGCCTGGGTGACTCGTGGGGCCAGGACCCAAGCTCAGGTCCCAGGTTGGAGCGAGCTAAAGAAAACGGGAAAGGGCTCAATCTCATGGAGGTACATGGTCTCTGTAAAAGCGGGTGGACCTGGACTGGGGTCCTTCCTGGACCTGTCCAGAGAGGCATCCTGGTGATGTTGGACTCTTGATTGTCCTCCAGGATTCCCAAGCTGAGACACAGGGTACCAGTGCTGCCCTGTGAAGAGAGCCAGTTCATGGCTGGGAAGGGCTGGAGTTGGTCTCTCCTTCTACTTTTGGGAGGGGTCATCTGAAGAGAACTCTATGGAATCATGTCAGCATGATCATGGTGGTATCTGGGATTCCCTGGGCAGCTACTTGGCAAATCCCAGTCCCTCACTCCCACCCCCCACTCTAGGGGCTTCAGCTCTTCATTTTGTCTGTAACCTCCCCCACCAGAACATCTTACAAGGACAGCATCTGTGTGCTGCCTTACCACCTTCTGGGGGACCCCCTCCCCCGCCATGGTAAACAGGGACAAGTGTTCACATGCAGGCACACAAGCACACACACGCCCACACCCTCAGGCAGAGCCCTGCTCCGTGTGTCCAAGTTTTCCAACGTGCAGTTCTGAACCAATGCATCTCAACCCTTCCTTCCTGCACCCACTTCCACACAGAGAAGTCAAGACACTTAGTGGCCACACTGAGAAGTTCAAGTGCAGCCAGGCTGTGGTGGTGTACACCTTTAAACCTAGCACTTGGGAGGCAAAGGCAGAAGGGTCTCTGTGAGTTTGAGGACAGCCCGGTCTACATAGTGAGTTCAAGTGCATCCATGAACCTGAGACTCCGTATGCCCCATGCTATTCCTTGCCTCTGACCCTATGTGGCTGGCACAGACAGCTGCTCGGTAACAAGGGTGTGGACAACAGTCAGATGCTGGCTGTCCTAGGGGTTCCTTCATGCTCACCTGTAGCCTTCAGGAATGCTGAGCTGCACTCACCACAGTGCCCAGGACCAAGTGTCTTGGTCATCACCTCTAGCTATTGTTCCCTAATGACTATTTCAGGACATACATAGGAACACACAGCAGTGGGTCTTAGCTAAGGACACTGGTCTAGCTCTGAATTCCATGCCTGGTGAGGTCTGCAGCCACCATCTGGCATTCATGACATTTCAATATGCCATAGTGTTCCCATGGGGGCATCTGAGGGTTCTGTCTGGAGATGGGGGCAGGAGAAGCTGAAGACTGGGCTTAGTCGCACACTTGGTAAGGGGCTGATGGTCTAGAGAAAGGGTCAGAGAGCCCACCTTTCTGACATCAACCCAAAACCCTCACTGTGGTTGGCTGGGTACCAATCCCATGCCCAGTGTCTGTGCTATAGGAAGGTCAGGTCTTCCCCTCTGCACACAGGTTCCCTGCCTTCCTCCAGGCTCCCATACCATTGCCCAGCACATCCCTGTGCCCTCTGATCCCTGCAGTTCCCGGCTCCACAGTCACTGTCTGAGGTAACAGTGTCTGCAGGATCTGTGTCTACTAGGAAATCCCACTGGAACCTGCCTGGGAAAACCTCAACACCAGAAGACACAGAGCAGAGAGTGAATAAAAAATGAGTTAGTGAAGTGACACTGGGGGCGACTAAGGTCTCAAGGATGAGAAGCCAGACACATGGCAAGGACAGGAAATACCAAAAGGCAAGGGCCTGGGGTGGCACTGAGTGGTGGGAGAAGGGGCTGGCATAGAGGGACTGATGGGGGTGATGGCACACGTAGGGCCTTGGGGGCCATGACAAAGCCTCGTGCTTTGCTCCAAGGGTGCAGAGTGCTGTTCACCCTCCTTGGGCATTTCTCATCCGTAACAGTCAACTCCTTCCACCCTGGCACAGTGCCAATCCCCAGGAGTATGGGTACCCCAAAACAAACACCCAATACAGAGCACCTCAAAGCCCATAGAAGTGTTTAATTTCAGGACACAGGACAGTCTTGTCTCCCCACAAGGACCAGGACCATCTGCAAGCTGAGTGGTAACAATTGGAACCCGCCAGCTCTTGGTCCTAACCAATCCAGCCTCCAGGCTGACGGAGCATGTCCTCTCAGAACAGAGTGGCTGCAGGCATAAGGCCACTCTGCCTCATCCGAAGACGTGCCGTGGGGGCTGGTGCTATGCTGTCCACCCTCCTGGGCCACCTGGGGTCAGGAGGAGAAGGGCGGTGTCTCGGCCAGCGGGCGTGACATGCTCTGGATGGCCCACTGCAGGATGCCGTCGAAGGAATGCTGGAAGACAGTGGCATAGCAGTCCAGACGGCTGGACCTCCTCGGAGCTGGTGCCCACGCTGCCGTACCAATGGGATTGTGGCCATCCTGACATGAGGGTGTCACCCACCCTGACCCTCTAATTCAAGGTGGGGGACTGAGACCTCAGGTCCCACAGGACACGCCAGTAAAGGGAGGACTCTTCATCTGGTGTTTTCTAGAGCAATATGTAATCCCTGGGCTTAGCCATCAGGTTGTCCCTTGTGGCTTTCTTTGTTAGGTCTTTCCTCTCTGCTCAGGAGTCGGGCATCCTATCAGGACTAGGAAGTCATGGTGGGGAGGTCCTCATTTTTCAAATGTCCAACCATGCTGGGTCACCCATCTCTCTCTTGTGCTTCCACGGATCTGCCTGTGCATGGCCCACTGTATAGGACATACCCCTGCCTCACGGCCAGCTGAGCCTCCCAAAGTGTCAGTGGATATTGAGGAGGGCAAGTGGACCCCCCTGGGATGTGGGAATGATCAAGGGAGCTTGTACCCTTAAAGTAGAGGGAGTCCTGAAAAGTTCTGGCTTCTCAGTAATACTACTTCCCCCTCTCCTTTCAGTTTTCCTACTGTTTCTAAATGTGTGCATGTACAGGTGCCTAAGGAGGCCAGAGGCACCAGATCCCTGGATTATAAACAGCTATAAGCCATCTGACATGGCTGCTGGGAACCAGACTCGGTCCTCTACAAGAGCAACACAGACTCTTAACAAAGGAGCCATTTCTCTAGCCCTCAGGTCGTTGAGACAGGATTTCATCATGTAGCCCAGATAAGCATCCACTTCACAATCCTCCCACATCTGCCTCCCAAGTGCTGGGAATCAAAGACCTGGGCCACCACACCTGGCCTGATCTGTCTATCTTATGGCACACAAACCCGAGCTGGGAGGGGTAAGAGAGAGGTCCCTGAAAGATCACAGCAGCTCTCCCTCAAGAGTCAAGGGCTTAAGCCTTCCTGGTTCTGAGGGCCTGAGGACAACAGGACTCTCAGGTGCAGGGCTCTTGGAAGGAGGAGGGAGGCTACAGGTAGGAGGAAGACAGCTTATCTCCCACAGGGCTCTGCACCCTGGGGCTCCTGCAGGGAAGCAGGGAAGCCCTGTTCTGGGAAGAGCAGCTGTGGGGTAGGGCTCAGCCCAGGCCAGGTGACACATTACCTCATTCAGGAGGGACTCCAGATCGTCCCTTTGCAGAACAGGCTCATGACCAGCAGAGTCGTCACCCACCTAGAACCAAAGAGTTAACAGTCAACCTAGCAGCAGCCGGGGGTCCGGAAACAGGACTCCAGCTTGCAGAAGCAGCAGTCTGTACCCTACCACAGAGCAAATTGACACTGAGATCCTCAGGCTGGAGGTGCAGACAGGGTGGGGGCAATCGACCTGTCCTATATACCACCTGTGGTCTTCAGGGAAAAAGAGAGGGACTTTTTCTTTTCAGCCAAGGTCCGCCAAGAGAGACTCAGTGGCCAAGACCCAGCCAGTGTCTCCCTTTGCCTGTGCCCAACTCTCACTGGTCACATGAGCTCTACTTATACCTGTGCCCCTGGCCATGGAGACACAGCTCCTATCAGGCCCTCACAGCAAAGGCAGTGGAGTGGCCCAACTGCCCAATCCTCTTCCTGGTTCTAGAAGTGACTTTCACTCATCCATCTTCTCTGCTTGTGTCTAGACTCTAGAGCAGTGGTTCTCGACCTTCCTAACGCTGTGACCCTTTAATACAGTTCCTCATGGTGTGGTGATCCCCAGAGATAAAATTACTTTTATTGCTACTTCATAACTATAACTTTGCTACTTTTATGAATCATAAGAGTTTGGTATTTCCAATGATCTTGGACCTCCACTTGCTTGTTTATTTACTTATTTAGCTTTGTTGAGTTTTGTTTAGAAAGAGTTTCACAGCTGGGTGGTGGTAGCACATGCATTTAATCCCAGCACTGGATTAAATTAAAAAACTTTGGGGCTGGAGAGATGGCTCAGCGGTTAGGGGCGCTGACTGCTCTTCCAGAGGTCCCGAGTTCAATTCCCAGCAACCATGTGGTGGCTCACAACCACCTATGATGAGATCTGGTACCCTCTTCTGGCCTACAGTCAGGATACTGCATAAATAAATAAATCTTTAAAAAAAATAAAACTCTGGAGGCAGAGGCAGGCGAACCTCTGTGAGTTCAAGGCCAGCCTGGTTTACAAGAGCTAGTTAGATCCAGGATAGGCACCAAAGCTTCACAGAGAAACTCTGTCTTGAACAAACCGAAAAAGAAAAAAAAAAAAAAAGGTTTCACTGTGTAGTCCTGGCTGACCTGGAATTCACTATGTATGCCAGGGGCTGGACTCGAACTCCTGAGAGATTGGGGTTAAAGTACTGCCCCACCACACCCAGTCTTTCCCTTTTAAATGGATTCAACTTATCAAAATATTGTCTGTAGAAACATGTTTTATAAAAGTAATGGGGTTTGGCAGGGTGATGGTGGTGCACGCCTTTAATTCCAGCACTCAGGAGGCAGAGACTGGTCTATATAGTGAGTTCCAAGACAGTCAGAGATCTGTAGTGATACCCTGCTTCGAAAATACAAAAGCAAAACAAATAACAAAAAAGCAATGGGACACGAGGTTAGTGGGTTTGGCTTTGAATTCTCCATGCCATAGGATCCCACCGCAACTGGCCACACACTGACCTTGGCAAGTCCGGGCTGGGCTGGGCGTGCAGAAGTGGGCGCTGCCTCTCCTGGCATGGGAGTCGTTGGGTCTGTAGAGCAGGACTTGCAGCGGGGGTTCGTCCTAGAGGAGTGGGGAAAGTTTGTTTGGGCCCGAGAATCTTCGGGGTGAGCGGGGATGTTGGCTACTATCCTGCCCACGCCACCTCACTCACCCCGGTCGGGCTGCGGCCATCGGGAAGTGGCAGCGCCAGTGGAAGGCGGCTGCACAGTGTGCGCACCGCAGCGTGTCTGCACCGTCCCCACAGACACCGCACCGTGCACCTGGTGCGGGACCCTGTGGAGAACGCGGTAGAGCAATGTTGACTGCAACTCAAGGTCTGTACCATGCTCACTAAAGGCCCCACCGACCTGGGTCAACCCGGAAACCTCCAATGAATGGGACTGTAAGTTCTTACGCCTTGGTGTTCTGAGAAGGCAGGGGTGACCCTAGCAGAAAGCGACTTCCAGGGTCATCCAACCAGCCCTGCTCCCACCAACTGTCCATCCAACTCCAGAGGAGCTTGTTGTAGGGAATGTGACTGCTGGAAGTGGGCAGGGCTTGGGGGATTCTGAGACTGACAAGGGGGTTCAGCCTTTGACCGGCTGCCTCACCAAGTGTGTTGGGGACTGAGGACCAACAGATCCTGAATTTCCTGTAAACAACTTGTTATCCTCTGCCCTGAGCATGAGACCCTGATGGCAGGGGAGTGGGTTCTGGTGGCTGAAAGATCCTGAGAGCTGGGGTGTGGCCAGAGCACTATATAAGCTGCCCCTGAACACAATAAAGGGGGCATCCTTGTTTCAAGGATGACCCACGTTTCTGTATGTCTCTGCGTGTTTGTATGTTTAAATCTCCAGGCCCTTGCCAGAGACTCATGAACTGTCTCATAGTACAGGTTCCATAACACAGGCCTAGTACCGCAGTACATGCAGTAGGACGGACGCTACATAAGTATATATGCTGGGGTGGGGGTGGGGATGTATTGTCCAGATAACCAAGCTAGGCTTTTCTTTCCTTCCTTCCTTCCTTCCTTCCTTCTTCCTTCCTTCCTCCCTTCCTGCCTGCCTGCCTTCCCTACTAGTTAATTCACTATTTATTTGTGGGTGTGCACGTGGAGATCAGAGTGTACCTCTCCTTCCACCATGTGAGTCCTGGGGATCCAACTCAGATCCTCAGGCTTGGCAGCAAGTCATTTAACCTACTGTGCCTTCTAGAAGGCCCAGCTGGATTTCTGGAACATCAGAGTTGAGTGGAAGGACTGAGAGCTACGCAGGTGTCCCTCTAGGTGATCTCCTCACGGCCCCTGTGGCTCCTGGTGTTACCCCCTTCCCTTTGTCAAACACCTTTCTCCTGGAAGAGTCCTCCCCTGACCCCGGAATGCCCTAATTCCTACCCCCTAGGGATCCGCCAGCCCTGTAGGTCCAGAGCTCCCAGAAGACAGCACCCAAGCCCCAGGGTCCCCCTCATTCACCTGCTGCCCCTCAGTCCCAGCACTCAGCAGAGGACGTAGTGCTGAAGGCTCCAGCAGAGGCAGGGGGGCTGCAGAAGGTGGGGCCAGCAGGTTCACGTATGTGATAGCAGCATCTGAGCTGGCCGGGTGCTCCCTGGACAGGCCTCTGGTCCCCTCTGAAGCTGGCCTCAGTCCCAGGAGGATCTGAAATTCAAGGGTCAGTGCTCAGGGGCCACAGGGCAGGGCTCAGCACCACCTGGGAGTCAGGACCGGGCTGTTGGGCTGTTGTGGTGGGTTTGAGGTTGGAAAGGCATGGGGTAGGCTAGAGATCTGGCTCAGGGGTTAAGAAAAGGACCTGGGTTCAATTCCCAGCACCCACATTGCAGCTCACAATTGTCTGTATACCCTCACACAGACATACATGCATGCATAACCCCTACGCAAATAAAATAAATTAAAAAAAGAAAAAGAAGGGCTGGGTGCATAGTTCCATAGCTCTCAGCAAACGCTTCCATCCTTGCCATGTTAGACCTGGGTGACAATGGCCTCAGGGCCTGGCAGAGCAAACTGGGTTTCTAACAGGATGTGAGATATAACATGACAGAATGCTACCCAGGCTTTTGGAGAATTTTAGGAGTGGTGAAGGTGGTACCCTGTGTCAGGCCCACAGAGCAGGAGGAATGGGGCCATTGTGATGACAAGCTCCTGAGGGCCCTCAACCCAGCAGGGGATTCACCAGAAAGGTTGCTCAGGCTGGAATAGAGCAGGGCACAGCAGCCGGGGCAAGCAGCACCCACAGGAAAAGCCAGGAGGTAGAATTGTAGAGGGGGTGACCCATCATAGGCATACCGGGGTCTCTGCAGGTGGCTCCGGGGGCCTGGACTCCTCAGGCTGGGACAGGCTCTTCTGGACTCTGCCCTGGAGGCAGCAGGAGCACCTCCAGAGGCCGCTATGCACGGGGCCACCAGTCACAGGCATGCAGGACAAAGCAGAGAACATAGACTCCTTCCTCCCCCCCCCCCGCCAGAACTGCATGGCAGGGATAGCTCGAGGACCCCCATGTCACCATGCTCATTCACAGATGGGAAGCCAAACCCAGGAATGGTAAGTCGGTTACCACATGGGAACAGTAGGATGTGGGTTATTGACTCCTGGAGGGCGGTCCTGGCCAGAGTCAGTGTCCCTAGACCGTTTCTCTTAATCCTTAAGAATTCCCCATGCTCAGCAACCCTCAGGGCCATGCCTGTAGGCCTCCAGTTGTAGGCTGTCCCTCAGCTACACTGTTTTCATCCTCAGAGCACCCTGTTCCCTTAGGGATAGGGGAGGGGCAGCAAGGACAGGAGGGGAAGGGCTCTGGTAGAAGGGGACCAGAGAGGTAAGGAGAAACAAGGGCAGAGCCAAGCCTAGACCCCCACAGACTACAGCACTCCCCCAGAACAAAGGCCTGTGCAGTCAGTGAGGGGGTGGAGAGTGTGGCTCTGTGGCTTCTGTGTTTCCCCAATTTTACTTGGGAGGTTTAGGGGGGCCTTGGGAAAAGGCCTGTGTCCAAGGGAATTTGGGCTAAGAACATAGGGTAAAAAGTATAATATGGGTACATTTGCCTTGGGGCATTGTGCTATGGTTACCTTTAGGCCTGTTGGCCTGAGTGAGCCATGAGGCAGGGAAGGGAGGAAGGTGGCATGGGAGAAAAATCCTACCATGCCCATAGCCGGTGCCCTGCAGCATGGCTCTTACTGCAGGACCCCGGCTATCCATCTGTGGGGCTGGGGGCTGCTAGGCTTCTTCAAGGTCAGCAGGTAAGGCCAGCAATGGATCAGGGTGGCCAATGCACAAGCAGCAAGCCTCGATGGGCGCTCTGCTCACCTGGGGATCTCCTGCAGAGGCGGGCACAGGCAAGCCAGGTGGAAAGCCCGGGGACAGCCATCACAGCAGATGAGCTCACCTCCATCGTGACACACGGCACATTCGTCCTCATTCTTCTGACCAGGCAAGAGGGGCCACACAGACCCAGCAGGGAGCACAGTGCTCGCCTCAGGGACCTGCCTTGAAGAGGCTCCTCCCAGATTCCCTCCCTGCTCACTTGCTGGCCCCTGCTTGACCTCTGTGCTGCCCAATGTCTTTACAGTACTAATTCTTGAACAGACTTAGGGCGTGTTCCTTTCAGCAAGGCATGCTGGGTACCAGGCAGTCCCGAGGTGGACCTCACCTATCTAATAGGACAGCAGGTGGATGGACCTCTGGGGTTTCCTGTCAGCCCTGGGTACCTCCTGCCACTTCCCCATCCTGCCACCTTATGTTTTTGTCAGGAAAGAAGTGATTGTGAGTCTGGATACCATGTCCCCAAGAAGCTCCCAGATGCCAGACTATGCTGACCCTGCCCAGTGACCATCATGGTCATGGAAATACTTCCACAGGCCCCCAAAACAACCAAGATACTTTTGTGGAGCAGGGCCAAACTGGACTCTTCAACCTCTGATGTCCAGAACCAGCATAGTGCCTGGCTCTAAGGCTTGATGATGGCGGGCACAGCCAGCCAGCAATGCTGCGGGGAGGGGGAAAGTGAGGCCGATGCCCCCAGGGAGCCCTCCTGCTCTAGCTTTAATAGCATTCTCTACCCCAACCCCAGCTAAGATGCTTTGTGTTGTCTAGAGTGAATGTATGGCTGGGTGATGGCACGCCTTTAATCCCAGCACTTGGGAGGCAGATCTTTGTGAGTTCGAGGCCAACCTGGTCTATAAGAGCTAGTTCCAGGACAGGCTCCAAAGCTACAGAGAAATCCTGTCTCGAAAAACAAAAACAAAAAAATGTAGAGTGAATGTATGATTTTTTTCTTTTATATAAATACATCTAGTTTTTGTTTTTTGTTTGTTTGCTTCATTTGTTGACCAGGCTGGCCTCAGACTCAGAGGCCCACCTGTCTCTGCCTCCTGAGCACTGGGATTACAGGTGTGCCCCACCACCGCCTGGCTAAGGTGTGATTTGACCTCACTTGCTCTGACTAGTTTGCAGTTTCCAAGTGTGTATCCTTAGGAAGAACACTTCCAATAAGGAGCAGAGAGGGAGAGAAGGGGAGGAGAGAGGAGGGAAGGAGGAGCCCCTCGTGGGTAGGAACTCAAGCCTCTGTGTTTCAGGCAGCCAAATACCCAGGATAAGGGACAGAAGATCTAGTTGAACACTGGTGGGGAAGTCAGGCTCCCCTGTTCTTGGGGCTTACCTGGTGAACCTGGGGCTCACTGGGAAGGGCCGGAAGGGCAGGAACCCCACACTGCTGGCCTATTCTCTGCTCATCTCTACCCTATGAGAAACACAGGGTCATAGTGAGGTAGCCAGGGCAAGGGAAGATCCATGTGGTCACCAGGACTAGATGTCTCTTGGGAAGCAACTCCCAACCCCCAGGAAGAACTCTTGGCTATTTTATGGGGGAGGGGAGGCTATCCAAGGTCTAGGTCCCCAAAGATGGACATGTTGGATAATGCTTACAGGGATAGTGGCCTGGGTTCCCTTGGCTCGGACTACCGGCTTTAGGCTGCCACCACCACGGGTCTTGTTCTTTGCATTGCCACTGGGGTCTTCAAACTTGCTTGGAGTGTAAAACTCGCCCCCAACTTGGATGCACTTCTTGGAGCCTCCTGGGAGGAGTGGCAAATGGCCCAAGCTCACACTAGGGGTCTGGCAGAACCTGAAGCCTGCCACTCCTCCCCACCTCCTAACCACAGCCAAGTCTGAGGCCTGGGTTCTGGGTCTAGCGAGGGATTTGCTGCTGGAATTCACCAAGATAAATAGTGTACACTCACAAGCTCAATGGGGCCATATTTGAAACAGCAGCTTTGGAGATATGGTTGGTTAAGATGATGTCATACTAGACCCTAAATCCAATGTTCTAACAAGGAAAGATGAAAGCAGAGAGACACACAGTCAGACTGGAGAGGCATAGCCACAGCTCAGAAGCGAGTATCACAACAGCATAGGAGCTAAAGACAGGGAAGGGACTCTCCAAAGCCCCCAGTGGGATGGGTCCCTGGCCACTTACACCTTGATTTTGGAATCTGTTGTTATAAGCCTGGGAATTTTTGTTATAGTAGCCCCAGGATAGTCCGACAAGATTCTTGGGGCTGGTCTGATGGAGATAGTCCAAGGCCGGCATCAGCTCCTAGGTCATCCTGACTGTCCATAGCATCCAAGTCCAGTGTCCAGGACAGAGCAGATGCTATGGAGCAGTAACTGCAATGGTAACTGCAATGGTGAGTGACTCTGCCCCCAGCTCTGTCCTGTCCAGATGACGTGTGGCCATATAAGGTGACCTGCTAGCCTGCACAGTAGGTAAGCAATTGTGGAAAGAGTCTGGTTAAATACTAAGAGGTCTGGAATACATGTCTGAGGCAAGGACGTGACGGGCTGTCCTCAGTGCGCAATGCGAGCGCTTGAGAGAATTGGAGCATGTGGAGGAACTGTCTGAGGATGTCAACTATGACTCAAAAGCACCCACCGGTGAGGAGGTGGGCATTCTGTGCTTGAATGTGCCTGACCGAAGGCCTCCCCGTGTAGGGGACTTCAGCAACACATCGCGGCCTGCACTCCAAAGCCAGCAGAACTTCATGGCGGCACACTGGCTGCCTTGTCCTCACCCTTGCCGGCTGCTGTTGCTCTACAGCTGCCTCCTGAGGACCTGGGTTTCCCTGGCAGCCTGCTCCCTGTTGTGGGAGTTCATTCGACCAATAGTTTCGGAGTACCAGCCTTAGCCTGTGACCGCTGTCTCTCCCCTTTTAAGAGATCATAACTACAGACAAGAAGCCACGTCCTAAGGCCGGTATCCCAAAGCTATTGGCGGAATGGCTGCTCCCCATGCATTTACCTGCCTCAAACACCTGCTGGATGAGGATTCCTTCCACGGCCCCTCGGGTTCCTGGGACATCCCCAGAGGACACAGTCACAGCTCTCTGGACGGAAGCCGACATGGCCTGAATTCCTGGGGAAGGTACAACATACATGGATGCACGCGTGCATGCATAAGCAGGTCCTAGGGGGCCGCAGTGTTTGCAGAGTTGAGCGCAATGATAGATTAGTAAGTATCTCATGATGTGGAACCTGTATTGTGCCAGGGCACAGAGCGGCTAGGCCAACTTGGGGGGTGAGGACCAGGAAACATCATCTATGGGATCCCTGAGATCTGTGTGGGGTTGATGGTAGGTAACAAGGTTGGGCCCAGCTGTGGAACAGGAATAGCTTTGTCATGGCTGTTTCCGGACTGGCTGGAAGGTTGGGAACACTAAAATGGGTAGAGATTTGGGGGGAGACACCAAGGACAATGTGTGTGGGTTGACCCAAGGAGTGGTGTGCACCCAAGAAGTCCCCGCCTTTCTCTGGCTTGGCCAGCCAGCTGAGGTCAATATGGGATCAGACCTTGGCCAACCTCCACACTCAGCCCCTTGCTCTCTTGGCCTTACTCACCATTCCCCAGCGGGAGGCGCTGTGACTCCAAATTGCCCTCTGGCTTCTTAGGGGGCTTAGTCTTTGGGTGGGAGCCTGTGAAGGGGAGGTGGAGATAGCCTGGAGGTATCCTCTTTTTCTGGGCTGTGGTGGTAGTGGTGGGTCCAGGATCTCAAGTGAGGTGGGGAAGAGCACCTGAGAGGGTCAGATAAAGGGTTCCCTAACTCCCTTAAGCCGTAGAGGCTGTTTCCTTTTTCAGCGGAAACGAAATCAAAACCACCTGCCTGCCTCACCACCCAGGAACTCAGTCTGCAGAACAGGAAGAAGCTGAGAGACTGTGAGCCTCCTCCAGTGCTCAGAGGTGACTGCGGCTCTAGCAGGCTGGGCCTAGGTAGCATCAATGGGACAGAAGCTCCTGAGAGTCATTTGGAGGGGTCCCTGCAACCCTGGCTAGCTCCTCTCCCTGAGTACCTGGGCTGGAGGAGCTCTTTGGGGTCAGAGTTGCCGGTGGGGTAGCTCGAGGTTCCTCTAGCGCCTTTCTCTTGGTGGGGGGTCTGGGTGGTAGTATGGAGACTTTGGGACCAGCAAGGGGCTTCCTCCCCTTCCGGGGCTGATTCAGGTCCACATCTGCAGCAGGAACAAGGGCCCCCATCTTAGAACCTTTTCCTCAGGGCGGGCTCTAGAACAGGACACTCTTGAGGAAGGTGAGTCAGGCCTTTGCCCTTTGCCTCTTAGGATCTGTACCGGTTCTAGCGACTCCCTAAAAACATGTAAAACGTACACCCGTAGTCTCCACGCTACCCCATAGGCTTAGATGGCAGGCACCACCGTCAGCACAGGCCCACCTTTCGGGAAGCCGTCCAGGATGGTGTGCAGGCGGCTGTACCGTTCCAGATTGTAGTCCTTAAAGAGAACCCTCCAGAAGTCCAGGATGGCCCCACTGTCCTGGGTCAGGAGCCAGGACAGCAGGGCATGGAAGGCCTGTGGGCAGCCTTCCTTCTCCTTCAGCCGCAGTGTCTCCTGAAGTGATAGCATCAGGCTACCCATGCATACCCTACCTCCAATCCCTGCCGTCTCCTTTGGAAGGGAGGCCTGCCTATTCCTGCCAATCCCTGGGTTCTGGGGAGTCGGGGTGCACAGGATGTGAGGTTAGGGGGTCTCACCTGAAGCTTGTCCTGGACAGGTCTCGTGATGGGGGCTGAGGCCACCCCTTGGTTGGTGTGTGTGGGGGGAGGGTTTATAGCATGGATGTTGGCAGAGGTTGAGAAGGATCTAGGTTGTGGGAAGGGGAGTGGGGAGACAGAGAGGCGCGGCGGGGGCGGGGGTGCAGGAGCCCACCTGGAACTTGTCCTCTGGAACCACGTCGTGGTCAGCCAGAGCGTGCAGCAGCGGAAACGCGTTGTCTACCGCCACCGCGATCTCGGTGCGGTGCAGTCTCAGCAGGCGGCGCAGTGTCCCATCCCCGCCCGCCATCGTTTCGAGGCGGACTGCGTGTCAGCGCCCCCTTCTGGCATGTGCGCTCTTGCGTACCTTGGGTGTCCTGGTACAATTTCAAGAGACACCTGTGAAAATATATACCTACTCCCCAGCTGGGGAAAGGCGACGCTTGGCTTGCTTCACCGCTCTGTTATACTTTCAACCAGAAAAGAGCAGAGGCTGCTATTCACCCCTGGAGCCAATCAGGGCCCGGTTTCTGCAGGCTGGGGACAGAGACTGTCCTACCGCTGTGTTCAGGAGTCCCTACAGAACTGGTATTCATTTCCCATGGAATCCAGGGTAGCTGCCTGGGCTAGGGGAAGAGCTCAAAACTCGGGTAGAAGAAACAAGGTTTCCCCTCCAGTCTCCCTACAAAGGGTCCTGTTTATGGGTAAAAAACAGGACGGGCTGGAAAGATACTCAGTGGACAATTTGTCTACCTGGCAAACTTGAGGACCTGAGTTATCCCATTGCTGGGGAGGCAGAAACAGGAGCCTCGGTAGCGCTCACTGCCCAGATTACTTAGCTGAGTGGATAAGGTCCAGGTTCCATAAGAGAACTTGCCTCAAAAACTTAGGTGGAGAATAACTGAGGAAAACAGCCTATGCTTGCCTCTAGCCCCATACACACATGAACATGTGCAAGCACATACACACGCACACACACAAATACAATAAATTAAAAAAGAAGGGGGCTGGAGAGATGGCTTAGCACTTAAGAGCACTTGTTATGCTTACAGAGGACCTGGGTTTGGTTCTCAGTATGCACGTGATGGCTCACACCCTGTTCATAACTCCAGTTCCAGAAGTTCCGACGCCCTCTTTTGGTTTCTACTGACACTGCAAGCCAGACACTCATACACATAGGATAACTGGGGGAGAAAGGTGACACTGGACACAAGGCCATACAGTGTTTCTAGCCACATCCTGGCGGCTTGGATGTGCTGGCCCAGCTGAGAGCAGCCACAGTAAGAAAAGGGCTGGGCAGTGGACCTGGCTGGGAACTCCTAGCCATTCCAGACCTGGAGCTGGAGGAACGGAATGAAAGATTCCAGCAGGACGGAGGAGATACCCATCCTGTGTGCCAGTGGGTGTAAACAACACATGGCATATCTCTGAGCTCAGAGGTGGCCAGCACATTGAACCAGGGGTCTTCCAGGTAGAGCAAAGGACAAGAAGGCAGAGAACCCTTGACAAATGCCCCTGAACCATGCAAGCTCCTGTCTTGTTCCCCCGCAGAGTCCAATCCAAGTAACGTTCTCAGGACTCATGGCAGAGACCAGGAGTAGTGTAACCTGAAGGGCGGGAGCTCCCAGAAAATCAGGGAGGTGTCCAGGAGACAGATGGCAAGGGATGTAGAGGTGGATATGAGTGGAAATGGTGGACCCAGCAAGGTGAGAACCTACAGCTGGAAGAGGCCTGGGACCTGGCAAGCTTTTGGAGCAAAGTGATATGGTCAGATTTGTGCTGGGGTCCCAGCCACTGTGAGTGTTGATAGTTGAAAGGAAACAAGTACTAAGACCAGTTAGCACAGCCAGGGGATGTGGCACAGGCCTGGGCTGGTGCTATGTGGTACACTGGGAGGAGAACGGAGGCTGCAGAGGTGACTGGTTCAGTGAGCAATGTTACCCAGCATCCTCACATGGTGATCACCAGGGAGGTCTGGACAGAAAACCGTGTGCGGCTAGTTCTGGCCCTGGTCTCTGTTGGGTCTTCTTACCTCCTAACTCAGGCCCCTCTGGGAGTTCTGCATGTGCTGAGATTGCTCTCTAACGTGTGTGTGTGTGTGTGTGTGTGTGTGTGTGTGTGTGTGTGTATGTGTGTGTGGGTGGTGGTATCAGTGCTGACAGTGGGTAAGACAGTCAGCATGAGACCCAGGTGGGAACAGAGATTCATTGTGAAGGACCAGTCACCTCAAAGCCAGGGTGTGTGTGTATACCAAGATAGGCAGGGGTGAAGAATGTTGCCGGGTGGTGGCGCACGCCTTTAATCCCAGCACTCGGGAGGCAGAGGCAAGTGGATCTCTGTGAATTCGAGGCCAGCCTGGACTACAAGAGCTAGTTCTAGGACAGGCTCCAAAGCTTCAGAGAAACCCTATCTTGAAAAACAAAGAAAAAAAGAAAAGAAAGAAAATAGGCAGAGGTGGGGAATGTCCTAAAGCAGGGCCCTCTCACTGTGTATCACCAGGCTCCAAGCCACAGCCATAGCGCCTTTGGAAGTGGCTCTGGAGCCGATGACACCAGCACTGTGCCTCCCACAGGTACTGCGAAGGAAGCCTTGGGTGATGCCAAGATAGGCTTGCGCCCCTGAGAGACACTACCTGTCCCTCAGTCCTGAAGGAGGCTGCTCGCTGGCCTCTCCTGCCATCTCCTGTAGGTATGTATTTACTGCAGAAACATCAACCCCCAGTGCCTGTCAGCACAGCACCGAATGTGACTTCTGCTGTCCAGAGCAGAGAGCCTCCTCACTGACCTCACTGACATGGTGGAGTGCATACAGGCCCCAGCCCCATGCACCCAGCTCACACCCTGCCAGGGTCTCAAGGAGCACCATCAACCAAGGGCACCAATGGAGCTTCCGAGTCTGCAAACTCCAGAATATGCCCGTTAAGCACCTGCGATGCCAGAGGCAGTGTGCGTACAGAATCAGGTGTTAACCCTTAACGTGGCTCCGCCAGTCCCTTGCTTTGCAGGATTACCATCCTCCTAATGTCATGCCTGCAGCCTGGGGGTTTCTCCCTAGCTAGGGGCGTCTCCCTCTGTGGGGGCTTCTCAGATGGGGATTTCTCTGCCAAACGCAATGGACAAAGAAGAACTAAAAACCACATCATAGACCGAAGCCTGCACTTTACATTTTTATAAAAAGCCTGACGCTGTCCCAGAACCCCCCACCATTGGCTGAGCACTGACTGCTGCAGCCAGGCGTCCCCCAGCCTCTTGTGGGACATCAACAGAAAGACTCCTGTAGAATTTTGGACTTTCCGTCACATGTGGGGGTTTTCGTGACAGTCCACACCTGCAGGGTGGTCTGGAATTGCTAAACTTAGAAGAGGTGACCAGGGTGAGCTGCATCCACTCGGGGGCCTAGTGCTTGGGTAGGACGATGCCTCAGGTCTTCAGTAGCCCCAGCACGTGGCCTGCATCCATGACCTTCAATGTGCTTACCCCAAAGGGGTTGCCTAGAGCTTGGGGGCCTGCCCAAGACAGCTATTCCCTCCAACAGAGGTGCAGCAAGCAAAGGAGAAGGTGACCTGGGTCAGGGCTGGAAGGGGCTCTGACAGTTACAATCAAACGGATGGAAAGTACCAAAAGGTCCTCAGCAGAAGATGGTTGGAGCCAGGTGCTGGAGACGCAGCTTGGGGTGGAGACCTGCTAGGGGGGGCTGCAACAGTAGGCCAGCCAGGTTTGTACGCCCACCATGCTTTGAATCCCACCGACGACCATGTGTTAATTTTAGGTTAAAATTGGTGATGTCATAGAAAGTATTCCTAGTACCAACAAAAATATCAACTAGTCAGAAAAAGATAAAAGAACTCTGTGCTTCTCACAACTGGGGGATTTCTTGTTCATTTTTTGTTGCTGTTATTTGATTTTTGGGGGGGGGTCTTCAATAGCCTAGGTTGGCCTGGAACTCACTATGTAGCCAAGGATGACAGGCATTAACCACGACACCTGGTTTGTGCAGTGCTGGCTGCCTGTTGGACCAGGACGTGAGCTCTAGCAGCATTTTTTTTTTTTTTGCGCATTGGGGGGGGGGGGGGTATACAAGGGTTCTCTGTGTAGTTTTGGAGCCTGTTTTGAAACTCTTTCTGTAGACCAGGCTGGCCTCAAACTCACAGAGATCCTCCTGCCTCTGCCTTCTGAGTGCTGGGATTAAGGGCCTGTGCCACCACAGCTGGATTCCACCACATCTGGCTGATTTGCAGCCTTGTTTCCAATGGAATCCCGCTGTGCCATCCAGACTGGCCTTGACTCCTGGGCCCCAGCTCACAATTTCACAAAAGGAAAGGAAAGGTAAGGTAAACCACTGTCTGGATTTAGCATCTAAATTTAGGATTTTTGTTTTCTATTTTTTCAAGACAAGGTTTCTCTGTGTAACAGTCCTGGCTGTCCTGACTGTCCTGGCCTCAAATTCACAGAGATCTGCCTGCCACTGCCTCCTGAGTGCTGGGATTAAAGGCGTGCACCACCAGCGCCTGGAAAGACTCAGCTGTTTTTTTTTAACCTAGAATTATAAAAGAGTTGCAGTTGCAGTCCGGTTAACACAGAACTCTGGCCCTCTGCAGGAGCAGTAAGTGCTTTTAACCGCTGAGCCATCTCTCCAGCCTAAACACAGAATTCGTGCGCGCACACGTGTGTGTGTGTGTGTGTGTGTGTGTGTGTGTGTGTGTGTGTCTGTGTGTCTGTGTGTCTGGAGGTCAGAGGACTTGTCTGAGTTGCTTCTTTCCTCCCACCATGTGGAGGCCTGAACTCAGAACTCGGGTCCTTAGGCTGCACAGTAAGCACCCTTCACCTTTCCCCACCGAGCGGTCTTGCTGGCCCTTTTGTTTGTTGGTTTGTTTTCCTTTGTCAGAACTTGACTTGTACAAACACCATGCCAGGCATGTGCACGGATACACACAAATAAATATAATAAATTTAAAAAGAGCAATAGGTCTGTCTTAATACAAGATGTTTCTACATAAACTATCACAAAACACTAAAATGTGCTAATGATACTGGGAGGGATGGCTTCTGCCTGTAATTGCCATTGGCACCCAGGAGGCAGAGGCAGGAAGAGTGCTTGAGCTTGAGGTCAGCCTAGGCTACACAGGAAATTACAGGACGTCCTGGGCTACAAAGTGAGACCCAGTCTTATAAACAAACAAGGCTGGGCGTGGCGGCGCATACCTTTAATTCCAGCAAATTCCAATTTGGGATGCAAAGGCAGGCGAATCTCTGTGAGGTCCAGGCCAGCCTGGTCTACAAAATGAGACCGGACTCCAAAAAAAAAAAAAAGCATTAATAAGATGAATAAAATATTTCTAAATATTTCTAACATTTACATGAGAATATCTTAGTATCTTTAACAAAAATAACCTTCAGCTCAGTAAGAAAAAGCAATGGAGGGAACTGGACAACCTCTTTGCAGGATCTTTAAAAAAAAATACCCAAATCCCCGGCGGCACACCTTTAATCCCAGCACTCGGGAGGCAGAGGCAGGCGGATCTCTGTGAGTTTGAGGCCAGCCTGGTTTACAGCGCAATTTCCAGGACAGCTAGGACTGTTACACAGAGAAACCCTGTTTCAAAAAAATAAAAACATAAACAGAAAATCCGCATCCCAGCAGAATCAGAGGCAGGCAGATCTCAGAGTTTGAGGCCAGCCTATTGTCTCAAAACCAAAAACAAACAAAAAACCCAAATGTTAAAAACAATGAGACAGAAATCTGGCTATGCAGCTCAGTCTATCAACAGCTCAGTTGGTGGGGGCTCGCTGATTACACACAGCACAAAGGCCAGGTCCAATCCGCTGCACCACACCCCTGGGTGCCGAGGCCAAACCGGTAATCTCAGCACTGAGAAGGTGGAGGAAGGAAGTGGAGAAATCTAGCTCGACCTTGATTAGTAGTGAATTCCTGACCAGCCCGAAAAGCGTGAGACCCCAATAAAAAAAGAGATAAAAAGTAGATCAGGAAGGCCCAGGACAGATAGTAACAGGTTTATTCCAGAGTCTGCAGCTGCAGTATGGTGGCTGCTCTGGCTCCTCTCCTGAAGACTGATCTGTAGAAATGTGTAGCTTGTACCAAATGTCAAAACAGATGCTTCTCCTGTCTCATACAGTGCCCATCAGTGTGCAGGGAGCTTAGGCAGGGTGGGGGCCGAGGGGTCATTTAGCAAGCTGGGCAAATGTGGTGTCTCAGGGCCCCTATTCCTTAGCACTGAAATATAGACAAGGGACCAGGCTGTCTCCTGTAATCTGCCTTCTTTCTTTCTTTCTTTCTTTCTTTCTTTCTTTCTTTCTTTCTTTTCTTCCTTCCTTCCTTTTCTTTTTTTTTGTTTTTTTGAGACAGAATTTCTCTGTATAGTTTTGAAGCCTGTCCTGGAACTTGTCCTGTAGACTAAGCTGGCCTCAAACTCACAGAGATCTGCCTGCCTCTGCCTCCCGGGTGCTGGGATTAAAGGTGTGCACCACCGCTGCCGCCTCGCTAATCTACCCATTTTCTCGTCAGTTCTCTGGGACACAGGACTGACCACAGTGGCGCTGGCCTGGATCACTGGGCTGAGGTGAACAGTCAGTCAGGTGTCTCGCAGGGCAGTGACCTCCATCCTGAACCTTCCATAAGTCACTACCCTTGCCCATGGAAGCCTGGAGTCAGGAACCGTGTTCCCAGGGTCTCCCACAAGTTTTGCAATCCATTATAGCCACTGTGGTATCCTGGAAGGGACTGGGGGCCATGAACGAATTCACCCTTTAGGCCAGGTAGAAAGGATAATTTATTAAGCACCCAGCCAGAGATTGGCAGGTCTTCGCATTACCCACAGGGACAGTCACAACATCATCTGTATGGTTCTCTAAGTCCTACTCCGACACTGACCTTGTCTCAACCCAAGGTTCTCTTCCTCCCCCTCACCCACTCACTCATGAACCCTTGATCATCCTTACTCCCACCATATCTCCTTTGCCCTCCCATCCCCCCATACAATCAGTAACTCTATCTCCCAGCTCCCTAACCTCTATGTGTGTGAAACCTAGAACCTCCCTTCCCCCACCCCCACCTCATTTCAGCCCTGAGCCGCCCTCCTACACTATTCTATAACCCCTCCTCCGATCATGCTCCCCCTCCCCCATTCCTAGCCTGAACCCCCTCCCACTCACAAGGTTCCCTAAAACCCTTTAGCCCCGCCCCCACCCGCCCCACCCCACCCCCACACTTTCCCTGAATCCCCCCCATACACACGTGCAGGGCTCGTTAAGCCCCGCCCCTGAGTGCCTGCCCCCACACCCTCAACCCGACCGTCCTAGGCCTTTAATAGGCTCCTTCCAGCACTCCGCTCTTATCCCGATTTGCCTTAAGGTCCCTTTCCTGTCTCTTCCTCCCCATAATTCCCCACCAGGCCCCAAGAGACCCACCCGTGCACCTTCCACCCCTCTTCCATCGTCCCTCGTGGCATTGTAGCGTTCTGAGGACCCTGCTGACACACCTCCCGAGATCTCAAGGCACCCGCCATCTCTTGGACCCAGATCCTTCTAGCAGACAACATCCATGGGTTCCCGGAAAAATTCTTGCTCCAAGACAGGTGAAACATGGGACCTGGAGACTCTGGACAGCTCTAGCCCAGACTCTGCCAATCACCTGGAAGATCAATGGCTGAAATCCAGTAAGTTCCTCAGGCCCCTTTCTTCCTTTCCCTCTCCCTTCCCTCCTGGTCCTTAGCAGAGGGTCTGGACTGTCACCAGAAGGTGGGTCCTAGAGGGGTTTAGCAGGTACAGAGGGAGGCAGGGCCATATGGATGCTGGGGAATGGCTTACCTGAAAACACATGGTGGCTGAGAGTGGATGGGTGAAGGGGTCCAGCCTCTCCTACCAAATACTTTGAAGCTGAGGTTGCAGTTTTTCTTGTCTCTAATTTCCCAGATGGCTGGGTGGATGTCACCCTGACTTGGCTGGGCAGTCTAGTGGGTCCGCTGACCCCTGCACTGACTACAGGTCGCTGACTTTTCCTGCATACATCTTGTGTCCCTGTGAGGGCTCCCAGTGATAATGCCTTCCCTATCTCCAGCCCCTAGCCTCAATGATGATGAGCACAGCATGGATCTCGTACTGGAAGATTCCCGGGAGCTGCTGTCCTTAACCTCACCCCCGCCAGGCAGAGGTAAGTCCCCACCCAAGTAATAAACTTATCTTGTGGATGAGGACCTCAGAGTCAGGCAATGCATGGAATGTACCCATATCATTCAGGATGCCCCAAGCCCAGACAAGGGCAAGCATTTGGTGGGTGTCAGTGGAGGGATTCCTTGTGTCCCAGTCATCTCAGAAGAGAAGTTTACCATGAATGTTCCAATGAGGAGCCAGAGGAAAGAGGCTACTTATTTTTCTCTTTCAGAGATCATCAGGTATGAAGTCACTGTGAACCAACGGAACATCGAAGGTGAGTTTACACGCTTGCCTGTGACCCAGCAAAACAGAGCGTCAGCCCTGCTAGAAAGGCTTGCTTCAGCCTCACTCAGCCATCCCACAAGGTGGGGAACAATCCTGGTGCCCACAGGATGTTCTCTTTCCATCCCCCTTACCAGATTCGTTTAAGGCATGTGGTTGAAAATTTTGTATATCTGGGCTGGGCATGGTGTCCCACACCGTTAATACCAGCACTCTGGAGGCAGAGGCAGGAGGATCTCTGAGGTTAAAACTGGCCTGATCTACAGAGCAAGTTCCAGTACAGCCAGGGCTACACAGAGAAACCCTGTCTCGAGCCTTTCCCCCAACAAAAATTTGTGTGTGTATATCACCAAACACTGCAGTCTAGCTTGAGATTACGCTGAGTTCTCAGTAGAGTGTCATTCATCTTGGAGGAAGCCCTGGGTTCCATCAGTACCCTATAAACTGGGTGTGTCACCACACCCAGCAGCCCAACAGTCAAGAGATGGAGGTGGGAGAACCAGACGTTCAAGGTCATAGTGAAGTTGAAGCCAGCTTGAGATATATGTGACCCTGTTGGAAAGAGAAGGAGAGAAAGGAAAATTAAAATGTGCATCTGGGGGCTCAGTGGCTAAGAGCACTGACTGCTCTTCCAGAGTTCTTGAGTTCCCAGCACTCACATGGTGGCTGACAACCACCTATAGTGCGAACCGATGCCCTCTCCTGGTACAAAGGTGTACGTGCAGGAAGAGTATGCGTATACACGAAAGAAATCTTTTTAAAAAATGTGTATCTGCTAGGGACCCCAAGCTCCTCAGTCAATGATCTGTTTCTCTGGTTTGGCCAAGATGCGAGTTCTTGGGTTTCCATGGGAGTTTTAGGATCAACATGTCAGGTCTACAAAAAGTCATCTGGGGTTTGGAGATGTCTGTCCTTCATTTGGGATGTCTTCTGATCTATTACCCTGATGTGTCTTCTTGGGTCTTCCCTGGTCTCTCTCAGGGTCCTTGGACTGTTTTGTTACATCTTCTCCCTGATTTTCCTTCTCCATTCTCTCTAGACATCTGTCTCTGTTGTGGAAGTCTCCAGGTGCATACGCAGCACCCCTTATTTGAGGGGGGCATATGTGCCCCATGTAAGGTAAGCAGGGAGGTGGTGGGACTTGGTTGGCACTGTTGGGGGAGATTGCACAGAAACCTTTGCCCCCTGCTCAGGACATCTTCCTGGAGACCATCTTCCTTTACGATATGGATGGGCACCAGAGTTACTGTTCCATATGCTGCTTCGGGAAAACCCTGTTCATCTGTGAGAGCCCCGACTGTACCAGGTGAGGCAGGGCCCAACTCCCCATTCTCATCCCCGAAGGACCCCTCCCAATGTGAGAAACAGGTGCTGATAATGTGCATCTGTGAGGTCTCTCTTCAGGAGCACAGCCACCACATGGCCACTCCCTCTGTCCTTAGGAAATGGAAGGGTGGGCACTTGTACCCTGCCCGGGGTCTGCTGGTCACGAGTTGTGAGCAGGATTGTTCAGGGCATAGGCAGCCCTTTTCACCTCCAGTTAAATCACTATCCTGAGCTCCATCCATGCCAGTCCCTTCTGGACATCTTCCTCTTTACATCCCTGACTTCAAGTCTCCCCTTCCCTGCTGCTCCTGCATGTGGTTTTTCCCAGAACTTTGAAAATGTGTGTAGAAGTTTCCAAGTTGTGGGAAGGCTTAAAGGAGCAAGGGCTGCCATTTTGGGTATTCCCACTGCACTCTGTCATTGTGTTTGAATCCCCTTCCCAGCCTGCAGCCAGCCCCACGCACCCAGCACTGAGAACAAAGCCAGCTCCTCCTCTGAAGAGCCCGGAGAGAAACAAATGGTTCCCTCCGGTCTGCCTTGCGGTCCCCTGATGGCAGTATGATGTGGCTCATCATAGTTTTCGGTTTGACTCTAGATGCTACTGTTTTGAGTGTGTGGATATCCTGGTGGGTCCCGGGACCTCAGAGCGAATCAGTGCCATGGCCTGCTGGGTTTGCTTCCTGTGCCTGCCTTTCACTCGGAGTGGACTGCTGCAGAGGCGAAGGAAGTGGCGTCACCAGCTGAAGGCCTTCCATGATCTAGAGGGGGTAAGGACAACCCGTACTGGATCTGCCACGGCAGATATACATACATCCTCCATCACAGGATAAGGCTATTGCCATAATGCCCCTTTCCTGACCTGCTGGAGAGCGAACGTCACTGGTGTTTCGTCATGAGGGTCTCAGGTAGCCCAGGCTGGCCTCAGACTCACTATGTAGCTGAGGATGACCTTGAACTCAATGAGTACTGGAATTACTCATTGGGTCTCAGGTTTCCCAAGCTCTTTGCTGAGCTGTGTCCTTGGTCATCATTGTTTCTTACAAGCCTAGGGATGATTACCAGTCACAAATAGGACAGGAGCCCCCTTCACAGACACATATAAGCCCATCACATCGGCTTGAATGCTTAGCCAACGTGGTATCCTGTCTGCAGCCACGGCTGCCGTCTCAAGGGTGAAGCCCAGAGGGGTCAACAGTCCAAGGTGGAGCAGCCTGGATGGTGTCTCTCCTCTCCCCCCAAACATCTGTCAAGGTCATAAACCAGAGACCTGAAAACGCAACCTAATTTGGAAGTGGAGTCTTTGTGCTGTCGTTTAGCTGAGCTTGAGATAAGAGCAGTTTGGAATAAGGTAGCCCTGCATGAAGTGGGGGTGTCCTCATAAGAGAAGGCATTTTGGGGGGGTTGAGACATGTAGGAAAAAGACCTAATGATGAAGGCAGAGGCAGCATGTAGCCAGTAGGAGCCACAGGTGCCGAGCACACATGCTGGATGAGACCTGGGATGGTTCCCTGAAGCCCCAGAGGCCACCAGCCCTGGCGTCAGCTGGGTTTCAGGCTGCTGGGCTATGGGAATGATTTTGCTCTCCTGGAGTACTTAGAGCCTGAGACCTACAGAGCTCCCCTCTGCTAGGACCCATTATCCTCTAACTTCAGAGAAACCCTTACTCCGTTTCCCTTGAGATATGTGGGGGTCCAGGCAAGAGACCTAGACCTGGGGAGTGGGTGGAGTTGGCCTCCAGGGAGGGAGGGACAACCATGGTCACTACAGGGCCAGCCAGGCCTTGGCAAGTGTGTCCCAGGTGGCTCTCAGTTGAGTGCTGTCCCTCCAGCGAAAGACAGCTGTAGGAGCCACTTAACCATAACTCAACCAGCTCTCTGAACAACTAGTACAGATCCTCTTGCCTTTTTCTCTCTTGCCTTTTTTTCTTCTATTTCCTTTCCAGTCAAGTCCTGTGAAGATGTACAAGATAGTGTCTGCCTGGAAGAGACAGCCCATGCGGGTGCTTAACCTTTTCGGGAAGATTGATAAAGGTGAGTGTCGTCACATCAAGTGACTCCAGAGGAGGGGACGGGAGGAACTCAGAGTGTTCTGGTGTCCTCTGCCTGGCTGTTAGGCTACCCTTGGCATCTGAGGTGTGGGGCGGGGACTGAGAATAGAATGCCAGTTGAGTTGGGCAGTGGTGGCGCACGCCTTTAATCTAGCATTCAGGAGGCAGAGAGGCAGGCAATCTCTGTGAATTTGAGGCCAGCCTGATCTACAGAGCTAATTCCAGGACAGCTAAGGCTACACAGAGAAACCCTGTCTTGAAAAATGAAAAACAAAAACAAAACAAAAACAAACAAAGGAAGGAAGGAAGGAAGGAAGGAAGGAAGGAAGGAAGGAAGGAAGGAAGGAAGGAAAAATTGCCAGTCGAACTTCTTCCTCAGACTTCTGGAATTGAGAGAACTGAGTATCCCAGGAAAGGATCTGACAACCAGAGAAATCCCCCAACTGTGTGCCCAAGCAAGAGAAAGGTCCCAGCTCCCCAAGAGGAGGAGGCAGGGATGGGAAAGGGACAAGCCCGCCAGGGTAGATAGGAGCTACTGCTGGTGAGAAGACTGGGTTCCAGCAGCTGTGCTCCCCATATAGGCTCCCCCAGCCTCCACATTTTCCTGAACCCTCTTTTCATACTTGAACCTCCCAAGTTATGTCTTCTGGAGTCCTGTCCCTTAGACTGTTCTGATTTCCATGTGTCCACCAAGCACAGAGCCCTGAAAGTGCTATGTTCTCTGACTAAATTATGTCCCACTCGGGATGCCACCAGGAGTGCATCCAGTGACCCCCTCGGTGTCTCACTGTGTCCCATGTGGTGGTTACAATTGTATCGCTATACCTTTAGGACACCCAGCTCGACTTGCCCAAACTCTCATTCTCGGGGTCTGAAGGAAATCCACCAGCTCTGCATGTCACCATTCTGGTTCAAAAATGACACCACTGTGGAAGCCACAGTCCCACTGGTGGCCTAAGCCAGCGGCTGAGAGCATGGCTCAGAAATGCAGAGTTTTGCAACCGATTTCTTGACTTTCACAAAGTAACCCTCAGGAAGTTTGTCCTTGGGCTCCAGTGCCAGAAAAGATCAAGCTGCTGCTCCGTGGCAGGAAAAATCGCACTGTCACTGTCACGGATCCGTCCCCACTCTGCAGGGGACAGAGCCCATGTCACCTCGGTTCTCTGTGTCCATCTTGTCTCCTCCCTCCAGAGCTAGAGAGTTTGGGCTTTCTGGAAAGTGGTTCTGGTTCGGAAGAGGGAAGACTGAAGTACTTGGAAGATGTCACCAATGTTGTGAGACGAGATGTAAGCTGAGGTGTTGGGCTGGGGGGAAGGGGGCAGGAGGGAAGGAACCCTGGAGGGGCAGGAAGGAACAGGCACGGTACCAGGTCTTCAGACCAGCGTGGGGTCCTCGGTCTGGCGGTGGCCCAGTCCCAGTGGAGTCAGCACTGTTATGCCTCACAGAGGGAGGCAGGAGTGGAATGCGTTCCTCAACCCTGATCAGGGCAAGCAGCCAGATATCTTGAACTCCACATGGCTGGCTTCTGCTGCCTATGATGGCGGATATGCATGGGTGGAGAGGCTCAACCCCACCCCACACTCTCAACAGTTGAAAACCTCTTCCAAACACAAAGGTGGTGCTCTCTTGTCCCTGTGGTGGGAGCCCTTTTGCACTCCTCCTGGGAGCATGGGGTGGGGGGCAAATTGCATTTGGGCCTCTTAAATAGAGTTGGGGTACTGGTCTTTACCACCGAACCCTGACCACTTCCTTTAGCCAGATACCAACCAGTCATTGCCCCTGTAGGATCTCAGGTGCACATCTGAAATCAGGTAGGGAAGATGGGGATATAGAGAAAGCAAGAGTCAAGAAGTTGGGACCTAATTTAGGAGTCAGGCTACTATTGAGAGAAATGGGGAGATCCAAGAAAGTGGGGGCCTATTCTAGATTGGGGAAATCATGCTTAGACATTTTAGGAATGCCCCCCTCTCTCCCCCCTCTTCCTTCCTTCCTTCCCTTTCTCCTTTCTTTCCTTTCTTTTCTTTTTCTTTCTTTCTTTTTTTTAAGATTTATTTATTATGTACAGTGTTTTGTCTGTATGTATGTCTTCATGCCAGGAGGCACCAGATCTCATTACAGATGGGTGTGAGCCACCATGTGGTTGTGAGAATTGAACTCAGGACCTCTGAAAGAGCAGCCAGTGCTCTTAACCTCTGAGCCATCTCTCCAGCCTCTAAATAACTTTTCTCTTCCTTCCTTCCTTCCTTCCTTCCTTCCTTCCTTCCTTCCTTCCTTTCTTCTTTTTAGTTTTCATTTTTTTTTTTTTTTTTTTTTACTGAGACAGGGTTTCTCTGTGTAGCCCTGGCTATCCTGGGACTTGCTCTGTAGACTAAGTTGGCTTCCAACTCAAGAGAGATCCACCTTTCTTTGCCTCCCAAGGGCTGGGATTGAAGGGGTGAGTTACCATTGTCAGGTGGAACTTTTTCTTAAAAGAACATTCAGGTTCAGGTTTGAGCCAGGTAGTGATAATGTATGCCTTCAATCTTAGTGCTAGGGAGGTACAGAGGCAGGGGCTGAGTTGGAGGCCAGCCTGATCTACAGAGCAAGTTCCAGGACAGTTAGGACTCCACAAAGAAACCCTGTCTCAAAAAACAAAAACAAAACAAAACAAATGTCCAGGGCTAGAGAGGCCATTGGCGAAGCAGGGATTCTCCTGAGGATTCCTTGCATTTGGGACAGGGCTGCGACTGGCTGTTTCATTCTCTCCCCAATTGGCCAGCAAGTGACCCCGTCTGGTACTAAGTGGGAATTGTTTATGGCCATCAGACAATGTCCACCCTGCCATCTGCGACCAGCTGCTGGCTCGCAGCATAATCCACAATTTCCCAGAAGGATGTGGAATCCCTCACGCTAGAGCATGCATCCTCCCTCCAGGACCGATCCCCCTTTTAAAAGCACGTTTACTGAGGAAGAATCTCAGATATGGAATGTTCTCGGACTACCACTGTTTGGGCTTCTCCTGAGAGCCATTGGTGTCTGGGATTTCTGCCTAAATGGGCCCCAAGGCTTAGCTAGGAGGTCTACTGGCGTCACCCCTAAGGTATAACATTGGGGGGGATGCGTGGGATGCAGAGGCCCTAACGTTGGTTGCCAGTGTGGAAGCACTTAGCTTTGAGCCATCCCCGTCCCATACTAACCATGTACGTGTTCCCTAGGTGGAGAGATGGGGCCCCTTTGACTTCGTGTATGGCTCGACACAGCCCCTAGGCTACTCTTGTAACCGCTGCCCCGGTGAGTTTCGAGAAATGAGCTGTTTTGGCTCCAGTCACCGGAGAATCTTGTCTTCAACCCTGTCCTCTCTTCTGTCTCTGTTTCCCTCATGCCACCTCAGCCTTCAGACAGGGCAGAAATCTCACACTCCACATTTTAATTCAAACCAGCTTCCCTGGGCTGTAACTGGCAGATGCACTTGCACAGGCTCTGTTTGTGTTCCCATCTCCACCATGGGAGAGCAGAGGTGCCCAGCCTTTGCAAAAGTGTTATCCTGGCCCTCTACCCGGCCTTTGTCATCTGAACCCGGCCTTCTCCCCCGATTCATGGCAGGCTGGTACATGTTCCAATTCCACCGGATCCTGCAGTATGCTCAACCACCCTCAGGGAGTCAGCAGCCTTTCTTCTGGCTCTTTGTGGACAATCTACTGTTGACGGAGGATGACCAGGTCACAGCAGCCCGCTTCTTCCAGGTGGGTATACCTGGGGGATAGGAGCTTAGCCTGTTCTGGGACCCTCACTCCTGAGCCTGGTGTGTGCCAGGCCACAAGGACATTGGGCATCTGAGACACAGATTGTAGATTTTCAGGACAACAGCCCCTACAGGAATAGCCTTGAAGGGCAACCCCCCCTCCTTCTACACCACTCCTGTGCGTGCAAGCCACAGCCACACCGATTCATGGCCCCCTCCCCCTCTCACCTTTCAGCTTGCACAGACGAGCACATCCCCTCACACAGAACACACGTTCCACAAGACATGCATGGCCACTCCATGCACTCACATGTTCATGTGCATGTTTTCCCCTTTTACCTGCACCATCAGTGTGACCACCACTTGGGGTCCAGCGGTCAGTTCTCTCCAGGGCTGATGTGTGCCAGTGGGTCAGGGATAGCTGCGGAGGGTGGGGAGTGACTGACAGTCTTGGATATAGGAGATGAGAGACAGCAAGAAAGGAAGAAACCTGTTGAGCCCACCTCCCAGAAGGAGACACAACAGAGGGCTGGGGAGCGGGACCTAGTATAGGAAAATAGGGGGTGGGGACTCGTTAGCACCATGCAATTTTCCTGGATGCTCTGCTTGCCAAGTGCTGGGATTAAAGGTGTGCACTACCATGCCCAGCCTCAAAGGCTCTTTATTAAGATTTGTGAGATGGCCGGACTATTCCCAACTGCCCACATCTGGTAATGGAGTGGAGTATGTGGTCAGAACTGCGTGGGTGAACTAGCCTTGCATCCCTAGGAAACCCACTTGGCCGTGGTGTATCAGCACGCAGCTAAAACCTGCAGAAAGTGTTATAGGTAGACTCTTTTGAGTTGACAAGTGCAAAAGGAGGTTGGTCTGTGGTTTTCTCTTTTGTGGGCTCCTTCTCAGATTTTTGTTTCTGGGCTGAATCTGGTTCATAGAAAAATTTTACAGGGTGAAAGAATTCTGTGAAATTGTATTGTGTGGGACAGTTTTAAAAAAGCAAAAACAACAACAGAATGTGAGCTGGGTACAGTGGCACAGGCTTTAGCTTCTAATCCTAGCAAAAGAGGAGGATCTCTGTGAACTGGAGGCCTGTCTGGTCTACACAGTAAAATCCAGGGCAGCCAGGGCTACTTAGGGAGACTTTATCTTGCCCATCCAACCCCGAAAGAGAGAGAGAGAGGAGAGAGAGAGAGAGAGAGAGAGAGAGAGAGAGAGAGAGAGAGAGAGA